AGAGGAGATCCGAGGATTAAAATAGGATATCCTCAGGATATCCTACATGTATGTCCTGGATGCCCTTTGGACATCCTAAGGACATTCTTGTGCTGTCTGGGAATTTAAACATATATATCTACATATGTATATACGCAAGTATAAAATTCTTATAAAGTGGGCGCTTATTAGCCTTGTTGCATTACTGCTGTCACGAGAGGCCAGAAAGCATTTTCAGGCTGTATCTCGGCCGTAAAACGATACGCTAGAGGAACAAGGATAGCACGCGATTGTCGCTCCTTGTCTGACATTATCTCCCAACAATCGCATCCGTGTGCTCAACGTATCGGTGTTGTGCCTTCACGGACGCTACACACATACGCAATGAAAGAGAGACGAAGACAGCGCAATCATCTCTCTTTGTCAAACGATCATTGTACTACCAGCATCGACAATATCGAAAAGTGGATGTAGCATATGTAGCACCCAAAATCGACAGGATCGAAAAGTGGATGTAGCACGGACATGAACCAATCGGCTGTTTTATTGGCTCCGAAAGTAGCCATGTAGTTCCAGGCGGCGTAAAATGGATGTACGTGATGCTAGTGTACGACCTAGAAAAAGCGTCTCTCGAAAAACGGCAGCATGGCGACTCTCATTCTTCTCTCTGGATGAACCGACGATTAAAATTAGCAGGATGGCCAACAGAAAACAGAGGTGAAGGAAAACCAAGCAGTCATATCATACCAGTTGGAACCCTGCTAATTTTAACCGTCGGTTTATCTAACCGGACTTGGTGAAATTGGCCCTTAGGCCGGTATTTATAGTCCGTTCTTATATTCAAGAGCTCCGTGAACTTGGCCCGCCGATTTTGAATTTTTGAATTTTTTTTAGATGGTTTGTAAGTCGTTTGTAGGTGATTGTTAGATTAACTAAAATGTTTGTTAGATCAGCCTCTGGCTGCAAAACAAAAAATAAAAATGACCGTAAAGTTAGCTCCCAATTTTTAATTTCAATTTTATTTAAGTTTCGCAGAAGGTCAATCGACGCAAAATCGTTTGTTGTTCACGGATATACTAATTAGAACGTTTGTTAGATCGTCGTTTCTTAAATAAAAGCTAAAAACCATATTTAGTAATTTTCTAGGGAAATAACCGTGAAGTTAACCTCCCCGTTTTTAATTTCGATTACTTAAGTTTTGCAGAGAGTAAAGGCTGGTTTATGCAGGCCGTAACTGTTAATTTATGCCGGAATCGTTAAAGTTTAACACTAGGATTACAATGCTTTACGCGGAATCGTTTGTTGTTCACGAATATACTAATTAGAACGTTTGTTAGATCGTCGTTTCTAAAAAATAAACTTAAAATCATATCTAGTAATAAAGTAAAAATCTAGTAATTTCTCTCTCTTATCTAGTAATTTCTTGCGCGGTCATTTTACCTAAATTGCAAAAAGTTTATTTTTATAACATTTTTACTCAATGCAGTGCTTAATCGATGCGAAATCGTTTTTTGATGGTAAATAATCTATTTATAACGTTTGTTGTAATTATTCGGGATATTCATGCGGAGGATTAATATCGGGATAATAATTTTTGCTGTTAATAACCTCTAATAAATATATTATTTATTTATCTTTTCGTATATATATGGCCAAATGTGGCTCAATGCGAGTTGTTAAATTGGATTTGCATACTTTTTTGTTCAATCCATTAAATTTTTGCCAAAGTACGCAAACAATGTGCGATGTAGTTACGAGGCAAATATTTAACAACACCAGGTAGCCTAAAACAGATGCAAGAAAAATGGTTTTTCATTACGTTTGAGTGTAACTATGTATGTTTTCCATTTAGCAATACAAGTCGACACAAGCGTCATTCTATCTTTGTTCTACATTCTATGAGAATAAAAATAGAATGACGTTCTGTCGATTTGTGTCGCTAAATGAAAAGCATCCTATAAGTATATATATTTTAAAATTGTTTTCTCGAATTTTCTATATCTGCATTTATTCTTTACATTCAATCATACTTAAAGGAAAATTATTTTATTTCAATTAATTTATTCTAACTATTACTTTTGCTTTTTTTATTCTTTATTATTCTAATAAGTATACTGCCAGCATTACGGATATGAAATGCACAAATGGTTCTTTTCCAGAAATAATAAATAAACTGCGTAATGTCTTAGTCAGATTTTTTTTAGTAATGTGATGAAATCTAAAAAAATTAAAAGTACACACATAGACAACTCTTAACATTAGATTATATAGATTAGATAATTTTAATCATTAGATTAGATAATAAAATTAAATGTAGCTATACTCAAGATTCGATGTTTCATTTCTCAGGTGGAGATTCATCATAATTGGAAATTCTCCCAAAGAATCGCAGAGACTGTTTTAAATTATGATGATGATGTACATCGAGTTCTATAAA